TAGAATTATGAATTTTAGAAATTTAATTAGCCTTGTATGAAAAATAATAGGTTAGTAACAAATAATAGAAATAGTATTAAAATAATGAAAAAATGAAATAGAAAGGTGAATAGTAATTCTTCAAACATCTCTATAAATAGAGAATAGAGAGTTTATTAGAGAGTGATTGGAGATCGAATTCTCTATTTTACTCTCTAATGTAGAGAATGAAGTGTTAAATAGAGTGGAATTGGAGATGACCTCATGGTCAATTAATGATCATAGTCATTATGACAAATTGCATTCGAGACATTGGCAATGGAACGTTGGCATTTGCACGTTAGTGCATTTGTTTCCCTAAACATTATTTCATTCTCAATGCTCTATTATCATTGTAACACGTGTAACTCTTAAGATCATTTATTTTCACTATCTATCAATGTTTTAAAAGGTGGGAATGTGAGGCGAGACGTTTTATACGGTATAGAGCGAGGGTAAGCCTCGAGATGTAATTCTCATGGATCTAAGGGTTGTAGTCTCATGTATATTCAATTTTATAATTTTATTACTGATAAAATAAGTAAAAGTAGACCTTTCAATGAAATCTGATTTTTATTTAAGATAAGAATTAATAATCAATAATGAAGAAAAAAAATATTATAATTACTCTCGGAGAAATATCATTACACCAGTAATAAAAAATATAATTTAAAGCAAATTTAAAAAATAAATTAAAAATGTTCGGGTGTACATTTTTACGTCCAAGACTTGCGTATTTTTCCTCCGGGCTTACGCCTTATGGATTTACGTCCTTAATTTACGTTCTGAAGCATTTTTGGTACGCCCCGCCCCGAGACTCGCCCTGGAACTTTCCCCAAAACCGTTTTTAAAAATATTGTTATTTACTATACCATATTCTTCTTATTCATTGTTAGGAAGACTTCTTATAGTATAATTAGTGACGGTCTTCATTTGGTTTATACACAAGAAAAATATAGAGATAAAAAAGTTAGTCAAAAAGAGAGTTCTTATTAGTTGAAGGAAAGTGTTCTTTTTGGGGAGTTTTGGATTCAACTCTTGTTAAAAGATGTTGAGTTATACATAAATACTTTACATAAAAATCATTAGGGGTACATACTTGATGATGAATATATCACCATAGAGAAAAGCGAGAGCTTTAGTCATAAATTGGTTTCTACCTCATTGCCCTAACTTTATGTTATCACAATCGCCAACTATAGAATTATTGTAGAGAATATGTGATAATACTAATGGGTGGATGGATGACCAATTTATAGAGGTTATGATTTAATCTGGTACTTCCATTAATTAACCAATGTACAGACGAGATCTATTTCTTATTAAATACTATTTATGGTATTACTTGAGTTACAAGTAAACTTTAGCCATAAATAACAAATAATATTGATAATAATTAATAATAATTCTTACATTCTCCCACTTGGTCCAATAACCATATAACATTAATATTTAATAAACATTAGTTGCGCATTCAACAGATCTCTTCTATAATGTCCATCATACATACCACAGTATAAAAAACTACTAATGCGAGTTATGGTGGTTGTACATACATTTTAAGCTACATACTTCCTTCCATATACTACTATATTAGCAATTTATCCTACTAGGTTCATAAGCATAAAAACATATAAAATTACGATCCACAATAATGTCTCATAGAGACTCATCTTGTAATTTCTCAAAACAATAATGTGTACACCATTATGAGAAACAAGATATTCATTAAAGTATATCATAAACAAATAATTGGAGCTCAGAGTGTGAAACTTCATAAATGTATCAATCATAAGTACAACCAAGACCCATTCTTTGAACATGTTCTTTAATTGTCTTTGATTGTAAGCATTTTGTTACAACATCTGCAATCATGAGATCAAATTTAATATTCTAAGTGACATTCTTTGTTTCCGAATTTCTTTCTTGACAATAAAGTACTTTGATTACATATGTTTGACACATTTAGAGTACTTATCATTATTTGAGAAGAATACTGTTGTAGCATTATCATAATAATTTTTCAGCGACTTCGTAATGGTGTCGACGATCCCAAGTACTGAAATAAAGTTTCACAGATATAATGTATGAATTGTGACTTTATAACGTGCCATAAACTTACTTTGCAGCTTTTAGTGATCAATTCCAGAGATCCTTTATTATTTTCCTAGCATTTCAACCACAAAGCTAATATACGGTGGTCTTGTGCAAGTTTAAATACATCAAACTTCCAACAATAGAAGATTAAGGAATTGAGACCATTTTCTTTCGTTCTACATTATTATTTGGGCATAACATAAGATTAAATTTGTCTTTTTTAATAGGAACTATTCGTGCTGAACAACTATTCATATTAAATCTCTCTAGAACTGTTTCAATAAAGCCTTTTTGAGACAGTTTCAATAATCCTTGTGATTTATCACATAATATTTCTATCCCTATCATATAGGATGTCTCACCCTTATCTTTCATTTCAAATAGAGAGAAGTCTTTCGCATCACACAATATGCATAAATCATTAGCAACAAGTAAAATGTCATCAACATACATGACAAAAAAATTAAACTAAATCCTACTGATCTTTTGGTATATGCACGATCAACGATAATTTTCTTAAATCCAAAAGATGTCATAGTATTATTGAACTTTATATATCATTATCGTGAGGCTTGTTTGAGTCCATATATTAACTTCTTTAGCTTACACACCATTTGATTTTTTTCTTTAATTTCGAAACCCTTTGGATGGTCCATATAACATCCTTATTTGAGGTCTACATTAAGAAAGACAATTTTCACATCTATTTGATGTAACTCTAAATCATAATGAGCTACCAAAGCCAAAACAATTCTTAATGAGTCTTTATTTGAGACCGATGAAAAGGGTCTCTTTATAATCAATGCTTCCTTTTTTAGTGTATCCTTTGGCAACAAGCTTGGCTTTATATCGTTCAATATTACCATTTGAATCCCGTTTGATCTTGAAGACCCATCTGTACTTGATCATTTTAGAACTTTATGATATCGAACGAGATCCCAGACTTTGTTGTATTCCATTAATTGTAACTCTTCATTCATGACATCAATCCATTTATCAGACTCATTATTTTCTGTGGCCCGTGAAAATTAAATCAAATCTTTATTAATTTCAATATTAAAATTTGACTCTTGCAACTAAATCACATAATGATTGATTTTCTTTATGACATTGTTTGTGGTTCATTTGCGTCAGATACTTGTGAGTTAACTCCTTGAAGTGTTTCACCCGAATGTTGTTCAATATTGTTGAAGTCTTTTTTCAACAAGAGGAACAACATTTGTGATTGGTGCGGAACTAGGTACATTCATGGACAATGAAATATTTATCATTACCTCTTTAAGTTTTACACTTTGTCGTTCAACACTCCCACCAACTACACTATTCTCAAGGAATTTTGCAAACGAACCTAGACATTTTTCTAATTTGTTACAATTTCCATAATATTCATCACCTCTATCTGACTTAATGATTTTTCACTTTCTTATTTAATTGTCTTTCAACCTCTTTAACATACACTTTGAGAGCGTCCGCTGCTTGAGATTTTTTTTCTTTTAACAAAAAGATAAATTCATAACGTGAATAATCGATAAAGGTGATAAAATATTTTTCTCCATCAAAAGATGGAACATCAAAGAGTCCGCAAATATTAGTGTGTAAAATTTTAAGTAACTGAGTGTTCATTGTGGCAGCTTTATTGATATGCTTGGTTTGCTTCCTTTAATACAATCTAAACATATATCAAGATCAATAAAATTCAGATTCGGAAGAATCTCATTCTTTACTTACCTTTTTAATCTTTCATTTGGATACATGACTCGAATGTTTATGCCATAAATAAGCAATTTCAGTTAGTGAACTATGTCTAATTATTATTAAGTTTCAATCTATATAAATCATCAATAAGAACACCAGAATCCTAAAAAAAAATAGTATTCTTATATAGATTGAAACAACCATGTCCAAACTTAAAATCAAATCCAGAAACATCAAATATCGAAAGAGAAATCAAATTCTTAGAAACTGAAGGAATATAAAGAGCCTGTAATAGATCAACATGATATCCAATCTCCAAAATCAAATGATAAATTCTATGCCTTCAATTTTAGCCTTTATGCGATTTCCCATGAACAATTTTTTTTATTATTGTTTATTTTTTTAGATTCATAGTTTGGATCGTAGTGATACCTACAACATAGTAGATACATGAGTAGTTGTACCAGAATCAAGCCACCAAGTATTATTAGGAACTTCTACTAAATTTGAGTCGAAACATACAAAAAACACTAAATGTACCTTTCTTTTTAAATCAAGCTTTACATTTCAAACAATTTTTTTGATAGTGTCCTTCCTTTTATAGAAACGACACACATCCGCCTTAAGATCCTTACGAGCATCTTGTGAAACTTTAGCAGGCGCTTTCTTTTTCTTGAAGCTGTTGGCTTTTACTTTAAGTCCTTTGGTGAAGTAATAACAAGAACAATTTGGAAAATAACATCAACAAATAAAAAAACAACCAAAAAAAGTGAACCGGAGTATTTTTGAGATGGTAGATTAGCAGTAGAACTCAAGCGGCCATTGTAGAGCTGTAAGGAATAGAAATCCAGGTGCTAAGCTGAAGTCGAGAGTCAAAAGGTAAAAAAATTGATCAAAAATTTCAAAAGATCAACAAAAATAAGTTTATTGAAATTTGAGTCAATAAATCCTTAGGACACAATACATTTTAACTTTATTTAAATGAGAAAAAGGTCAAAAATACCCCTCAGCTTTGGTTTATTGGTTAACTTTATTTCTATCGTTACAAATAAGTTATTTTTACCCCTGTCGTTAATAAATTTAACAAATATACCCCTACTTGGATGGAAAGCCCCAAATTAATAAAAATTATCGGATTTTAATTAAATTACCTCATTTTAATCCTATCCAACCCACTTAATAACATTTTCCCCCACCACCACCAAACCACCCTTTTTTCCTACTTTACATTATTGTTTAATCATATTATAAAGGGGTTGATTTTTTTCTTGATTATTAGATTCTATTAATTTGTTACTAATTATTTGTATTAATTTTAATCTACTCATCATGAGTGATGATTAAAAGTACTTTACTGTTGAGCAATTGAAGAAACATAACAAACAAGATGATTTATGGATTTCAATTCAAGGAAAATGTTACAATGTTACAGATTGTATTAATGATGCATTCATTGCTTTTCATCCAGGTTCAACTGAACTTTTTGTTTTAGAATTCGAATTAAATTATACATTAATGATCATTTCGTAATTTGAAATTTCATTGATGTAGGTAATGCTTGGAAATATCTTGACAAGGTTTTCACCGGATATCATCTAAAAGATTACGAGGTAACAGAGGTGTCTAAAAATTACCGGAAACGTTGTTCTTAAATTTCGAAAGCAGGATGTTTGTAAAAAGGGGCATGGAGTGATTTATTCGTTCTGTTTTGTGGCATTGTTAATGTCATTGAGTTTATGTGTTTTGTTGAGTAAAAATTTCTTGTTCCATATGCATGCTTTCTGATGCATTATTGGGATTAGCTTGGATGCAAATCTCTTATTTGGGACAAAATAAAAAATTCTTGGTTCATATGCTTTCTACTGGGAGAGGGTGATGGCTTTGGTGATGGTGGTGAGAAAAATAAAATTGATTTGCGTAAAAGAAATGGATTGTTATATTAAGTGGGTGGATCGGATCGAATTAAAATTGGATAATTAAGTAAAATTGGGTAATTTTAATTGATGTGGGCTTTTCATTCAAGGAGGAGTATATTTGTTAAGTTTGTTAACGTCAGAGGTAAAAATAACTTACTTTTAATGACAAGGATAAAGTCAACCAATAAGATAAAATTGAGAGATATTTTTGACTATTTTCCCTATTTAAATTTTGACTTAACACACCATCATACATGGTATTAATTTTTAAACCAAGTTCATGAAATTTGCAGAAATGGAGACCATATGTAAGTCTTGAAGGGAGTTAAAGGTACCTATATTGTTACTATGAAAAAGTTATTCAAATAATTATAAACAGTTTTAAAAGGACTGAAATTTGCAATCTTAGAAATATATCACTTGCTGTAACAAATAAGATGATTTGATGACGTAAATAATTCTTATGTTAAACAATATATATTAATCGAAAAATGATTTAAAATGTCCATGAACTATCATAAATTTTTTAAATGTAGTCTTCATTCATTCATTTTTATTATTTTTGCTTAAAATTAGTGAAAGATGAGATTTGTCTTATCAAAGTTAGATGAACTTTTTCCTTACTTGTTCTAATTTAATTATGATCGAAGGGCTTGTTAAATTAAATTTAATGGAAATTTTAAATATGACATGTGCCGTCAGTATATAGTTACTCATTTACATATACACCTGTAATTATTTAAAATTTATTAAATATAAATTTATAAAATAATTCGGGTTATATTGAATTTATAAATATATTAATCCAAATAAATATTGTGAATTGATATAATTGAGTTAAATATTTAAGTCCAATAAATATGGATTTAATTAAAGTTTAAATTAATTGATTTGGGCTACATTGGATGAACCTAATTTGTTAAACCCAATCTCATCTCATTCTAGAGCCCATCTTGGCGCCACGTGTGCAGATGATGTGGCATGCCAAGTCAAACTCCTCTATTCTAAAACTATAAATAGGGTCCTCATAATTCAGAAAAGGGAAAAAATTCTAAACAAGAAGTTAGAGAAACTCCATGGTACAAACGCCATTTAATTCTCTACAAAGCTACAAGTTTAAGAATTCAAACATTCAAGTTCAAGAACGATCAAGATCAAGACCACCGAATTCAAGAACAAGCTCAAAGCCCTTGAGTTCAAATAAAAGTCAAGATCAAGATAAATTTCAAGTTCAAGTTCATCATAGATCCAAGAATAAGCTTTAAAGCCCTTGAAATTATATTTGAAAAGGCGAATTCAGAGTAATTATAGAGATTGTAACACTCGCATTTGAAATAAAATTGATTGTTGCTATAATTTTCCGTTCTTGATTATTGTTTTCTCGACGCGAATTTTATTGTCTATGAACAATCAAGATCAAGACCACCGAATTCAAGAACAAGCTCGAAGCCCTTGAGTTCAAATAAAAGTCAAGATCAAGATAAAGTTCAAGTTCAAGTTCATCATAGATTCAAGAACAAACTTTAAAGCCCTTGAAATTATATTTGAAAAGGCTAATAGATGAATTACAGAAATTGTAACACTCGCATTTGAAATAAAATTGATTGTTGCTATAATTTTTCATTATTGATTATTATTTTCTCAACGCGAATTTTATTGTCTACAACACCATTTTCTAATTTACTCGACTCAAGATCATACCAAACTTTTTTTTTACTGTACTTTTTAAATTTATTTTTCATCAAAAAATTATCTTCCGAAAGTCCATTACGGAATAAAATAATAATATTAGAAAAATGACCTTTATAGGTTGGTGTTTTGCAAATTTCTTAGTAAAGAAAAACCGATCTGCAGAGATTTTCCGAAAATTTTTTGGCATTAGAAAAATGACTTCAAGAGATCAATCCGATAAAAATAATAATTTAAATAATCGATTTCTTTTTATCACTTTTGGTAGACATTTTATATTTTTTCAAGCAGATTAGTGTTTGATCGGGGCAAGTTAAAGTAATTTTTAATTGGGTTTCTTTTTTTCCCTGCAAATTTATCACTATGACGCCTTTTATGAAACATAAAAAATATCAATAGGGATAAGTGCAAGCAAGGGGGCTAGACCTTAACTTACTAATCCTAATGAAGTATCTAACGTCTACTACCTAATAATCATGAAGAAAATTAAAACTAAATAAAACTAAGTGTTTTCTGAACATCACAGAGTTTTGTAATACACTCCAAAATGATATTACAAACGACGATGCTTAAATAATGTAAAAATATGCCAATCAAGAAGAAAGTTAAGTTATCAGCTTCAAACTTTCTATTACGAACACATGAACTAAAAAAGATTGATTGTCCATCAAAAGTAACTTAAAGTATTTTTCTCTTGTCATTTTTCTTCAGACCTATCCAACAACATTTGATCATTCATATTTTCTTAATGGATTTATTGGATCTTGTTGAACCTATTTATACTGTTAAATGATTCTGCTTTGCCTATCGCATCGATAGGTGCCTTGAAACAAACTCTTCAGCCAATTTACCGTCTCAACTATGTTTTCTTCCATGTGTCTTCTTTTTGCTTTTGTTGCTTCCACTTCTTTGTTGCCTAGGTGATATATCTCCTTCCCTAGCCACTCTATCAAAGCACATCCAAGATATCTTCCTCATCTTCGTCAAGAGAATCCTCATCTTCATCAAAATAATCCTTGCCCAAATCAATTGTATTTGACATTAAGACCCTTGACTCATTCTTCTTTGCAATCACACATTTAGGCATAAATACGGGAGATTCAACACTTAAGTTTCAGTGGGTACATAATGCACAGTCATGGTGCCGGCTTGAACTTCATCGTGAACAAAGAGATAATCGGTATCAACATGCTTCATTCTGGTGTGTAGGACGGAATTCTTGGCCACACAGATGGTTGATTTGTTGTCACAATAGAGAACAGGAATAGTGTGAGTGGCGCGGAGTTCGCGAAGAATATATGTGACCCACATGGTCTCAGCAGTGAGAAGAGCAAGGGCGCGGTATTCAACTTCAGTCGAGGACCGAGAGACTTTGGGTTATTTTTTTGTACACCAGGAGATCAGGTTCGGCCCCAAAAAACGAGAAACCCCGATGTAGATTTTCTGTCATTTTTATCATTCGCCCAATCTAAATCTGAGAACCCCCGAAGCT